CCTCCAGCTGCACCCTCTCCGAGCCTCCTGCCCACCCGACTCTCATTTATCAGGAGAAAGACGATAAGTTCTCTCCTTGAGGAGACATAACTAATAACCAGATCACAAGGGACCCAAAGACAGAGGCATCAAATATTACACAGCCGGAGCAAGATCCGTATCTCTAGCTGTAGCACCGCGCTTTATTGTTACGGCTGCGGCCGCCCGGCCCTCTCGTTGATGAAGTGCGTTCTAAGTGCTAAGTAATAATAATACCGTAAAATGCCTCGGTGCTCAAGCATGGGCTTTGGGCTCCAGATAAAACCCCAGACAGATAGATTAGCAGGCGCAGAAGTGCTCTGGGAGACGTCTCCCCACTGTTCCCTGGGCCTAATAGATAGGTCCAATCAGACCGCTTCAATTACTGCTCAGGGACTAATAGCCGAGAGCCTGATTAAATCCCTACTCGGGTGCTGGTGTGATGGGCGAGTGCTGCGCAGAGCTGGTGACAGCCGGCTCTGGAGCGCCTGGGGCAGGGAGACTGAGAATGGCGAGGGCGGGAGGTGTGCTCTTCCGTGGGCCGGGGGTGGGGGAAGGGGCAGCTGGTCTTCCGGGGACTGATGTGGGCATATCCCCGCAGCTCCCCATCTGGTCCCTACTGAGGCATGGCCCAAGCCAGAGCAGGGCTGGCACCCTTCTCTACCCTCCTTGGCCCTCTCCTCTCCCTGGGCCTGGGAGAAAGGCAGTAAACGCTTTCAGCCCTGTTAGAAACTTTCCACCAAGGAAGACCCAAGCTTCTGCCACCCTTAATGAAGAGACGATGAAGGTCTGAGCAGGGTCAGAGAGAACCAGAGGACAGGTGGTTTGCTTGTCCAGGGGGACAGTTTGGGTGAAGGAGGCGGCCTTGCCCCAGTGGAGAGCCATCAGAGCCAGCTGCAGGTGGAGGGCACCCCAGGTGGGGAGGCACGAGCTCCGAGGAGAGACCAGAATCGAGGACGTCTGCCAGCAGGGTCAGAGAAGGACCCGCATAAGAGGTGGGCTCCAGAGGTCAGGACTTGGGCAGGGGCCGTGAGGAACGGACGGAAGAGGTTCTGATTCTGTTGCTGTCTGCCACTGGGGAGGGGAGGGAGAGAGGGACGGGTAAGAAGCCAGGGGCCACCTTGGGGCCAGAGTGTGCCTCAGTCCCAGCTCCTCTCACCACCTGCTTCCTCTGTCCTGTCTCCTCTCCAGAAGGAAATGTGAGAATTGCTGCTGCTGCACATGTTTGAGAAACAAGTGGGAACGTGTCCCTCCCCAGGTGGAAGCGTACCGTGGTTTTGCTCAACTGGAGACTTTTTCCACACAGCACAACCGATCCTCTGGAAAATGTTTGACTCAAGGCACATATCAAAAAAAGATGGAGGAGGAGGAGAGGGAGGAGGAGGAGAGGGAGGAGGAGGAGAGGGAGGAGGAGGAGGAGGAGGAGGAGGAAAGAGGAGGAGGAGAGGGAGGAGGAAGGAAGAAGAGGAGAGGGAGGAGGAAGGAAGAGGAGAAGGCAGCAAAAACAATTTACACAAATTTATATTTGAGAGAGAAAATAGGAAAATATTTGATTCTTTCATAGTCCTTTAGAAAAGAGAACAGTGTGAATGTTGCTAAACTTGTTTTGTTAAAATGAAAAGCCAAGAATGTAAAATCGTATCCTCTGCTCAAGGACTAAGATTTAGATGCTCACAATTGGGTCTGTTGGTCCTAAGGGATGGGTGGCACGAGGAGGAGCAGGGAGGAGGCGTGCCCGTGGACACCATTCAGAAGCCTGTGGGCCCCAGACATAGTGAAGCCCGAGGCCTGCACCCGTGCCCAGGAAGAACACAAACATCCCCACGTGTGGAAACTGAACGCCTCCATTCACGTTACTCATGAGCCAGAGACGAACTGAAGGGCCACAGAAGCAGCAGTGGGCAGGGAGCTGGGGCCCCGAGGCCAGTGTGGAGGGGGCCGGGATCTGACATGTGGACAGGTGAGGGGAGAGGCCCGGGGCTGGGAGAGGAAGCCAAGGGCAGGAGGAACCGGAACAGGGTAGAGAGAAGGCGGGAAGCTGGAGGAGGCACTCCCAGCAGTGACAGCCTGCTCCTTCTGCGAGGGGGCCTCAGCGAGAACCATCAAGGAAAGGCTCTTGCTGCCTCCTTATTCCAGGGGGCCTGGGGGAGGGGGTGTCCCATGGGGTGGGCAGAGCAGACCCCGCCTGGCAGGGGCTCCAACTGGGCTCTGGCATCACCTGATGGTTTCCCAGCCCATGTAGCTCCTGCTAAAGTCCAGATTCCTCTCTAACCCTCTTCCGAGTTTTCACAGTAATAACAGGAGGAGTCAGGGGCATCTCACTCCATTTGAACAGGCCTTCCTGTGCAGTGGCCGGCACGCTGCTTTCCGCATTGACCTGTCCCCTCCCATCAGTGGGTCAGCTGATGAGGATGCCGGGTTGACACATGTACGCATAAGTCTGCTGTGGCTGCCATACGAAGTCCCACAGACCAGGCAGCTTAACAACAGAAATTAATTTTCTTACAGTTCTGGCAGCTAGACGTCCGAGACCGAGGCCTGGACAGGGCGGGCTTCTGCTGAGGCCCCCCGCTCCTTGGCTTGTAGATGGCTACCTTCTCCCCGAGTCTTCAGAGGGTCCCCCTCTGTGCATGTCTGCATCCTAACCCCCTCTGCTCATGAGCACCCCCGTCACATTGGATCGGGACCCACTACGACAACCTCATTTTAACTGAATCACCTCTTTAAAGACACCATCTCAAATACGGTCACATTCTGAGGTGCTGGGGTTAGGACTTAAGCCCCTTCAATATGAATTTGGGGGACACCATTCAGCCCGTTTCAATACACAGCAGAGACAGACCAGGACGGGGGTTTGTGGGGCAGGGCCCGCCTGCCCACACTCAAGTACGTTGAGGGGACCCTCCTTAAGCCCCCCAGTGGTGGCACTCCAGTCACCAGGCAGGAAGCAGTCCCCCTCATTTGAGCAAACCCCAGCTTACATCTCTCGCTTCTTCCAGTTCTCTGCTTTCTCCCTCTGCTTGGGCAGGGCCTGCTGTCTGTCACCCTCAGTCTCAGGCAGCAAGTGGGACAGACACCCCAGAAGGGGAGACCAGGCTATTGTCATCGACACCCGTTCTGCCTTCTCCCATCTTCAAGGCTTGGGGGAGTGTGTGGGTAAGGGGTCTGATCAGCTTTGAGAATGCTCCATTGGGGAAACTGAGGCTGGGCCACTGATGAGGAAGAGGAAAGGGAGGAGAGCGGTCGGGGAGAGTCGAGGTGCTCAAGAGGAGGGAAATGGGATCGATACTCTGCCGCGTGCCGGGCTGACAGGCACTCTCGCGTGCCGAGAGCTCACAGGCACTGCGTCCTCTCAAACCCACAAGGCCAGGACGAGGAAGGCATTCTCCTTGGCCCTAGTTACAGATGAGCAAATGGAGGCACGGAGTCCAGTGACTTTCCAGCAGCACGTTTTGCAAGGGGAGGACGAAGACTCTGAACCTCGGTCTGTCTGGCTAGCCAGCTCCCTGTCCTCTCCCTCCTACCTCGCGCTGCCGGGCTGTCCCTGCTCGTTGGGTCCCCGAGTTGGAGGGTGAGGCTCCTGAGGTGAGCAGGCGTCACATTCAGGCAGGAGATGGGTAATCCAGCATGTCAGGGAAGCTTCAGAAGAGCAGGCACAAACCAGGAGCCAAGAATCTGGGATGACAGGATGTTTGGAAGAGCAGGTGGGTCTCTCCAGAATCTGGGCAGAAAGGCTAATTTAAAACTGTGTCAAAACTGCAATCATGGGAGGAGTGGGGTGTGCGCCCCAAACTCACCTGAGCAGGTTCCCCTCTGTTCTGGGATGGAGGCTCCTGGGGCCCGGCAGAGAACATCAAACCGTGCCTGCAGCCTGATCTCCTTCCAGACAGAGGGGAACACAGAGGTGAGTCCTGGACGTCTCAGATGTGTATCAAGAAGGTGCTCTCTCTCCTTAGGGGATTAGCTGAGGTCAGAGCCAGGAGCAGGGAGCAAGGTCAGGGTCAAACATGGGTCACTCAGCCCCCACCCCTCACAACCATTGCCCTTGGGAGCAACACATTGTTGGGGCAACAGGGAAAAAAGCTCTTAACAGGACCTGGGGCGGGACTGGGATCGGCAAGTTCGCTTGCCTCCTCTGGAAGGGCTCCCCAGGCACAAATGGCTGGGCGAGGGCTCTCGGGGGCCCATTTACATCCAGGGTAGTGGTCATGACAAGGAGATGGGAGCCAGACTTCCTGGGTTTACTGTGTGACCTTGGCCACTGGACTTAACTGATCTGGGGCTTAGTTTTCTCACCTGTAGAATGGGGTGAGCACAGCCCACTCTCACTGAGAGGATCGAATGGGTCAATACATAAAAACCCATACAAGAGCGCCCAAGCCACGGCAGGAACACCACAGCTTAGCTAGTAGCATGCACAACACAACGGGTGCTGTTTATTCTCTCAGCAGCTGAGAGAAGATTCCTCCGAGAGAGACCAGCCTGTAAGGCTGCTGGAGGCAAGAGCCGAGTCTGGGAGCCTCATGAGCCAGAGCGGCCCTCCAGAAGGCAGGGAGGAGTTCGCTGGCTGCATTGCAAGGAGAGAAAGGGCAGAGCCGGGATCAGGGGGGTGAGGCCGAGGCAGGCAGCTCAGAAGGCTGCATCTCTCAGGGTCTTACTAAACTCACAAAATTTCTGAAGCCAGTGGGTGGTTCCTGGGAAATGGTGCAGGGCTATGTTTTGTATCTATGTCTGCCCAGATAAGGTCCCCAGGGGTGGCTACAGGCAAGACATTGAGGATTTGAGCCACGTTTTCCTAAACCTGTGAGGGGCACAGGGTTATCTGTTTACCACTGGGCGTCAGCAGGTCCTGATGAATCAGCTGGAGGCCCTAAAATTGAGCCAGGCCACCGAGCTGGCTCCCCACCCACAAGTCCCCAAGGGGGAAACGTAACATCTCAATAAAACCAAACAGACTCGAGCACTGAGGTCTCGGCCTCTTGGCTGCAGCACGGCCCATGTAATTTTCCTTGACTCACAAATGGAAAAGACAATTGGATGTCAGAGATGGTTTGAGTCTCCGCTCAGACCAGTGACTTTTATGGAATTCCAGTGCCAGAGCCTCCAGGCTCAGGGAAAATTTCCTCAGCGGCAGCCCTCCGCTCCCAACATGCCCCTCGCCTCCCAGGCCTGCGCGCTGTTGAATCCAGTATGATCGTCTCCGCACCCACAGTGGACTTTTATCAGCGATCCCTGTAGCTGGAGAGCTTATTTGCAGCCTTCCGCCGGCAGCAGCCCCAGATAAAGAATGCAGAGTATGTGCTGCGGTGTCAGAAGCCGTGCCTGGTCCCCATCCATCATCCTGTCAAGCCATCACTCCAGACAGCCCTGCTTCAAGCAGCATCAGCTCGGGGAACTTTGTCCCGAGAATAACAAACAGCAGCAAAGTCAGGTGAGGAAGGCTCTGCTCCCCACCCCGTCCCTTCATTACAGATGAATGAATTTAGAGTTTCCCCATATTGTCCACCAGCCTCCCTCCATGGCCTTAGAACCTAGAGTGGCAAGAGTCACCAACCCTCACCTGGTTCCAGAAGCCTCTCCGTATCACCATGGGTTTATAACTTAGCTAATAGGATACAGAGATTGGGATCATAGAAATTCTTTGCATGTGGAGAGCATTTACAAAATTGATCCATATACCTTATCCCAATGATCTTTACAGCCACCCTATTAGGGAGGCATTGTTATTCACCAGTTGACAGATGAGCTGAGTGAGACTCAGAGAAGTTAAGTGACTTCTCCAAGGTCACACAGAGGGCCTTGAACCCGGTTCTTTTGGCTTCAGATCACGCACTCTTTCTGCTCTTCATGTTGCAATTATTCTTCCTCCCCAGACTCTTCCTCCCTCCAACCCTTTCTCATGCCCTCTGTTGCTGTCTGCCCTGCCAAACCCAGTCCCCAAGCGTGCATTGAGGGGTTGGCCATCTCAGCAGTATAGGGCACTGATCTCCAGCCACTCTGCCCTCGCCTCCTTTGAGTACATCTGTGAGATTTTCATCATGTGATTGGGCGGGAGCTACGCAGGGAGAGATGAGGAGGGGGCAGTGATCCAGTTGCTCTCTTTGATCTGATGGGTCCAGGAGCCCTGGCCAGCACACTTCCTTCCTTTGTGAATGTTCAGGGAGACAAAGGGGCTGGGACTGGGTCCTCAGCCCCTGATCCTCATCATCTCCAACCAAGACACTCAACACCCAAGGAGGCTGCAGCTTATCCATTGAAGGGACACCGGCTGCCCCAGTGTGGATCCTTCTGATGGAGTGACAGAGGGACTGAGGTTTCATGCTTGCTTACTCCAGGGACGTGGAGCACTGGTTCCAAACCCAAATGGCTCTGGGGACTCCAAAGTGAGAGCGAAGAGGAAGGAAGAGGGAGAGAGGAGCGGACCAGCAGCCATCGTCACTGAGCGGAGGGTGTAGGAAAGAGGGGGTACCAGACACATCACCTCCCTCCGTAGACCTCTGATGGAGAAGCACCCGTATAATCTGCAGGGGGCCAAGGGGATATGGTAGGCAGAGTAATAGCACCCGAGAGATATCCACATCCTAGTCCCTGGAACCTAGGAATGTTACCTTACATGGCCAAAAAAAGGGACTTTGCACATGTGACTAAATTAAGGTTCCTGAGATGAAGAGATTATTCCAGATTATCTGGGCAGCCCCAAGTGCAATCGCAAGAATCCTCATAAAGGGAGAAAGAGGGAGATTTGACTGCAGACAGAAGAGGATCATGCATTGCCACCACAGAGGCAGGGACTGGAATGGTGCAGCCACAGGGCAAGGAGGGGCAGCTACCAGGAGGTGAGGGAAAAGAGTCCTTCCCCAGAGCCCACAAGGGGCCGTGGTCCTGCCCACGCCTTGATTTTGGCCCATTGAAACTGACTTTGGACTTCTGGCCTCCAGAATGTGAGAAAATGAATTTCTGTTGTTTTAAGCCACTCAGCTTATCATAATTTGTTACAGCAGCCCCAGGAAACTCATACCAGAGGCCAGGAGAGCAGTGGTAACCACTGATGCTGGCAGAGCTGTCCAAACAGAGCGAGGCCTGGGCTCGCAGGAGAAGGCCCCGTGCAGAGGTCCGGAATCTGGAAGGGGAGGTGGCAACTGGGTGACTGACAGGTCTCCACTTCTATCCAGTGGAACACGCTTCTCCACATATCTCCTACTCACTCTTCTCCATCCTCCTCGGCCCACCAACCCCTCCACCTCCCCGCAGGGCGCCCATCTCTGCCCTGCAGTGTCCCTGACATTTACACGGGAGTCTCGAGACTTTAGCTCTCTCCCGCACGAGTCAATATACATCTGTGTCTGTCTTAGGGGCCCTCCTCGTGGAGCAGGGGCCCTGATTGTGCGTCTTCAAGTCTGGCCTGGGTGATAGATGTCCACCTCACAGCCACGGCCGTCCCCCCTTTGTGGGGAGGAGAGCGTGGCTGGGACGTCCGCTCCGTGCAGAGATCCCGCCTGGACTCAGGACCCGCCCCAGGGTCTTGTGGACACGTCCCCTTCACACACGCAAAGGTTAAGAGGCACTTCTTGCAGGCTGTGCCCCGCTGGTGGGGGTGGTCCCTGGAGGGGGATGCAGCAGAGGCAGGAGGTGGCTGCAGAGTCGTCTGGCTGGAGCAGGTGTGCAGGTGGTGTGGAGGAGAAAGAGAGAATTAAGGAGGGTGGGGACAGGAGAGCATCATGGGGAGGTTTCCGGGGACTCAGCTGGAATGTTGAGGGGGAGGGAAGGATGAGGGGGAGGCAAGGGGCCGCTGGAGGATTAAAACTGACAGAGGGGCCACCCAGGAGTCAGGACAAGGAGGCCACATGATACACCCACCTGAAGGAGGCCAGGGGCTCTGCAGAGGAGGAGGAGGTGGGCAGGTGGAAACCAAGCAGCCTTTGGAGGTGCCGGCAGCAGGTAGCAATGGTGGATTCCAAGTGAGGTGATTGGGCCCTGGAAACACAGCACAACAGCAGCCATTCATTCATTCATTCATTCATTCAACCAGTGAAACACTCTCTGAGCTCTGACTCTGTGGGAGGCATTGGGCTAAGCTCTGGAGACACGCATCTTGAGAGTCCACTGGGGAGCTGGCCACAGGGCCTGAAGATCAGGGGAGAAACCAGCGGTGAACGCAGGGAAGCCCCCAGCATGCACATGGTGGTGGTGGAGAGAAGGGATGCAGCTGAGATTATTCAGGGTGAGAGTGGACTATGAGAAAAGCAGAGGATTCAGGCCAGAACCCCAAGGAAACACCATTTAAGGACAAACATGAAAAGATGCCCTCCCAAAGACGATGTCAATGAATGAATGAATGAATGGAGAAACTGGGGCAGTATCCCAGGACTTCTGGAAGGAGAGAAGAAAATCCAGCCAAATACCCTGCACACCTGGCTTGGCCACGCTTAGTGCTGGGCTCAGTGAGGAAGGCCAGGGGCGTGATGTCATGGCATCCGCCCCCAAGGAGGTCACAAGGGGACCCAAAGCCAAGCTATAAACAAGGAAAATGTAAATTACTCCCACAGGGTTAACCATCAGCACAAGGCTACAGAGAACAGTGTCTCCAGGCGGCACAGAGCCTGATGGATTAACAAACGACTCGCACAGGCTAAAACCGTGTAAGTTCAGAGGACAGAGAAAGCGCTCAGGGCTCCAACCGTCAGGGACGGATTTGCTGAGGGGTAAGATTTGACCTGGGTTTTGAAGAGGGAGGGGTAGAATTTGTACAGGAAAAGATAGGGGACGGGGGGCTGGTCAGGACCTGCCGGGGGCAGGGGAGAAGTGTGGAAAAGGACCAAGGTTCAAGGTGCACTTGGGGGGACGTGGGGGGAGGCACCCACAGCCGGGTGGGCGCTCAGGGGGCGGGCCTCGGAGGCCGTGTAGACAGGGGAACATGAGGGCCCGCAGGTGAGGCCAACGCTTCTTGACTTGGTCCTGCAGTGGTTTGGGACAAATTGAAGATTGTTAAACAGGGAAGTGATGTATCCAAAGCAGTATTCCCCAAATTAATCTGCCGGCAGCATGGATTGGACAGCGCGGGGAGGGGGAAGGGAAGGGGGAGGTGGGAGCTGTCAGAGAGCCATGGCAACCATTGGAACAGGGAGGGAGTGGGGGTGATGACCAGTATGCGAATGGGGTGCCAGCAGCAGGAATGGAAAAGAAGGAAAGGAGATTCCAGGGAAGAACGGACGGAGGGGGAGACCAGAGGTGCCGGGATGGAGGAGTGGGCTCCTGTGAGCTGTAGGGCTGAGACCCCAGAATGGAGAGCCCCAAAAGCACCCACACCCACCCACACAGGGCGCTTCTGTTTGCTTTTATGTTCCTTTATTCCTTTAAACTTCTTTTTTATTTTTGCCCCAGGATGGACCAGCAGGGCTGGAAGCCCAGAGCGCTGCTCAATAGCAGGCATCCAGGATGGTCTGGGGAGGGGCTCAAACTGTCAGGGGGCCTCATGAAGAATGCCGGGACCCAGGATGAGTGGTACCCATCTCAGCGCTCTCTAGGGGTCCTCCAGGGGAACCAGCCCCCTCACAGCTTGCAGGCATGAGCTCCCCGCTCCTTCTCGCTGGCAGCGCCTTCTGCAATAAACTCAGTGAAGCAGGAAGGAGAAGGAAATTCATTCTCGTTTCCTCTCCCCGCTCAGAGCTGTATCTTGCCCACAGCCCCGTTTCCCCGTCTCTCCTCTGGCACGTTTTAATATTGATAGCTGCGTGGACAGAACGTGGAGTGTGAGAGCTCATCAGCCTTGGGGGGCCATCACCCCCCTGAGGACCCATGAATCTCCAGGGCTGCAGCCAGGGCCATTCCCAGCAGTACACCTGAGAGGGCCCACGGGGGTCATCTCGTCACTGTCCTTGCTTTCACCCAAGGTCTCACCTTTGCGCCATTGTTCTCTTCCACTTCCCACACCACCACCAACGCAAGCCCAATCACCCCACTGCTGGACCACCAGGACCAATTTCCTCTCCTCCATCACAGTTCTTGTGTAGGTATATTAGTTACCTATTGCTGCATTTAAAAATACCCCAAAACCTAATGGCTTACAACAACACATTTCTTATCTCAAAGCTTCTCTGGGTCAGGAATCCAGGCATAGCTGAACCAGATCCTCGATCTCAGGGTGTCTCCAGGCTGCAGTCAAGGTGTCGGCCAGGGCTGGCGTCTCATCTGAAGGCTCAACTGGCACAGGATCCACTTCCAAGCTCCCTCTGTGGTCTCTGGCAGGATTCAGTTCCTGCTGGGCTGCTGGGCTGAGGGCTTCACTCATCCCATATCTCGGCTCTCTTCTGGGGCTACAGAGCCTTTGCTGGGCTGTCTGCATCTGGCTGGGCTGCCAGGGAGAAGCCTTTTGGCGGCCCAGGCCTGGGAGTGGCAGCCTCCCTTCTGCCCACGTTCTGTAGGCCAGAATTCAGTCCCCTGGCCCACCTGTCTGGTGGGGGGATTGTGGGGAAAGCCCAGAAAGGTGGGCCCAGGAGGAAGAGGACAGGATCACTGGTGAACAGTTCTCCAGCCCCTGCCCCATGAGGGGGTCATCTAACAGAGTACGATGGTTAGTTTTATGTGACAACTTGACTGGGCCATGGGTGCTCAGGTAGCTGGCTAGACATTATTTCTGGGTGCGTCCACAAGGGTGTTTTGGGAAGAAATTAGCATCTGAGTTGTTGAACTGAGGAAAGCACGTGGGCGAGCCTCCTCCAACCCGTTGAGGGCCCAACAGAACACAAAGACTGAGCAGGGCAGCTGTGCCACGCCTGGCCATCTGAGCTGGGATGTCGGCCTTCCCTGGCCTCGGAGGTCTGGGCCACAGGATTTCAGACTCGAACCAGAATCTACACTCTCAGCTCTCTGGTTCTCCGGCCTTCAAAGTGCACCCCCGGCCTTCCTGGGCCTCCAGCTTCTAGAAGGCTGGTCATGGAAAGTCCCATAATCAGCCTCCATGCTCATGTGGCCAATTCCTCATAGGAAAGATCATTGTGTATAATAATATCTAAGTTCTATATAATATAGATATGTATAACATGTTTTATATATGCTATCGGTTATTGCATAATGGCTCCAAGTGCCCACACATCTGTCCTCGCGTGTTTGTCATAGACATCCACCTTCCCCTGCCACCCGAGAGGGAAGCTGCCATTTGGCGAGAGCTGGGACTGGCTGGGCCGCCCGTCTCCCGCGGCTACACAGTTGAACCCTAGACCCGCGCTGTCCGGTGGAAGCTTCTGTGAGGATGGAATCGTGCTGTGATCTGCGCTGCCCACCACAGTAGCCGCTAGCCACATGTGGCTGTTGAGCACTGAAACGTGCCTTAGGTGACTGAGGGACTAAGACGTTTCCTTGTATTTCGTTTCCACTGGTTTACGTTTAACTTTAACGGCCACACGTAGCTGGTGGCTGCCGCGTTGGGCAACGCAGCACTGGAAGGTGGGGGAAGAGCTGAGCCCTCTGACTTGTCCCCGAGGTTCTTTCTCTTAGTTTCTGGAACTCGGTGCAGCGTCAGCATGGCTGCGGGGGGACTGAAACCTCCCCGGACTGAAGATAATGAGAGCATCGCTTCTGGAACATTAATGTGCAAACGACTCATCTTATTAAAAAGCAAGTTCTGACGCATAAGTCTGGGCAGGCCTGAGGGTCTGCGATTCTAACAAGGTTCTCAGGCGGTGCCGAGGCTGCGGCCCATGGACCCCCCTTGGGTAGCAGGGCCTGCAGACTGCCTGTTTCCCCAGCAGACAAACAGCCCCACTACCTGTCTCCACCCACCCCGTTGTCCGGAGCACCATCTTATACATTGTCCATGTCTCCCTTTCGAAGAAGGGAAGCCCCAAACCTTCAGCCGCCTCCTCTGGAGCCCTCGACCCAGGCCGAAATAGGGGGAGGAGGGCCTCCAGCTCCCACACACCAGCTTCGCCCAGACTGCGGCGTCAGCCAAGCCCTTTAATAACGGCGTAGCACAGCCTCACCAGCTCAGCACCGGCGGGGGCTCCCACAGGATCCCTGATTTGCTTACACTCCTGGCTGCAGGAAGGAATGCTCACAGGAGAGCTCTAGACACTTCCACCGGAGAGGTTTATTCAGAGCCGTGCAGCGCATGGCTATGGGCTCTGGAAATCGCTGGCCTGGCCTCAGCATCGAGTTCAAAGGTCCAAAATACCAGTCTCAGATCTGCCTTCCTATAACGCACCCAGTGGTGTTCTTGACATTTCACTGACTTAGCTCACTACACCTTGTATGGTGGGTACTACTGCCAGCTCCTCTTACCAATGCAGAAGCCAAGGCACAGAGAGGTTGAGCATCTGGTCTGAAGTCACACAGCAAAGTCCACACAGCAGCCTGGCCCTAGAGGAGGGCCACTTACCTGTTAGGTGCTGTCTCACCTGTTGAGTGGAGAGCCTAAGAGTAACAGCCTTACTTGCTGCCCAGGAAGATGGAGAATGTCCACGGATACACGGTGTGGAAAACCTTGTAACGTCTAAGCACTAGGCTTGTTAGAGTCTGTGGATGAGATGTTCCCAGGGAACAGGCCGACCCCCTCCTCCAACACACACACCCATTGACTCACATCTGACACCCTGGTGAAGGCAGGCCTGGCAGTCTTATTTATGGAGGCGTCTATTTATGGTGCTCTCTCTGAGCGAATCCTTCAGTTTCCTATCAACACACGTGCACCTTCCCGTCCCGCTGCCCCACAGACACAGGCTTCTCCTGGACACACCCCCGTCGGAGAACTACCAGGTTTCTGACCCATCCAGGCTAATACTGTCCCCTTTAATGGGCCGTGATGGTTCCTTAGGCCACCCAGCATCCATTCCCATTCTTGAGCCTTGGACATCATCACCGTTTCCCCATGACCCTTTCGTGTGGGGCTGACCCCACCCCCAGCTCCAGGAGCCGGCAATCAGCGGGCACAGGACTGGTTCGTGGATCACCACAAGACCCAAATCAGGCCAAAGAGAGGCAGGCCCAGAATGCAGCTTTTATTGGTTAAAGAAGAAAAGCTCACTCTTTTTCCCCGATGCGGTCTGCCTTCTTGCCTCAATTGCCTGAGCATGGAGCCAACAAAGAAAGAAGCAGAGCTGAGAAATCGAGAGAGACCCAAACCTGATGACATCACCAAGGCTCCTGGATTCAGCCAGGCTTGGGTATTTTAGTGAAAAGAATCAGTAAGAGACATCCTTTTCCTTTTGGTCTTTCTTAAGCCATTTTGTGATGGGTTTTCTGTCATCTCCAGCCAAGAGACTGACACAATGTTTTTCTCTCTCCATGCTCTTCTGACAGCTCCCCCTCCCAGCCCCACACAGGGACCCCATCCCACATCTGCCGACCTGAGCTCTGTGGAGGGAGGTCAGGCCTGCTCTGCTTCAGCCTGAGTGGCCCCTGTTTGCCACAGTTCAGTGGGCACTGGGGAGGGTGGGGCCAAAGGAGCTGCCCACTGCCCTCCTGCTGTTCGCATGGCAGGGGCCAGGCTTGGCCACCTGCCGCCAGAAAGCTGATTTTGCACTTCTCTGCAGAGAGAAAGCTGGGCCTGTGCCCTCTGCACGCTTGACACCGCCCACCTGTCCAGCTCACTCTGCACTCAATGCCCTGGCCCTGGGGTGCCCGAGTGAAAAGCAGTGACCCCAGGGGCTCCGGGCACTCAGCTGATTGGTTCTTGCCCCTGGCTGGGACCTTAATGAAGACAGAGCTGCCATATTGATCAAGCGCTGGGACATCTCCCAAAAACCCTTGGATTGCAAGTCAATAGCCTGCTGCCCTCTCCACCCACGTTGTCGGGAGCACAAGTAACTATGCAGAGCTGTCATACATCTCAGGCCCGCCCTGCTCTCCAGCAGCCTTGAAAATGAAGAACCACCCTGGGCAATGAAGGACACACGACACCAGCCTCACAGAAGTCTTCTTAGCATCTTCAGGGTTGAAAACCCACTTCCCTGGAAGCTTGTCAGCCTTACTTGCCTAAGTGTGACAGATCCGGGGACCCCCAAAGGCAGACAGCAGCCTTCCTAGTTTGCCTCTAGGGACACTGAGGGACCTTATTAACTAACCTCTCTGGTGCTCAGTGTTCTCATCTGTAGGATGGGGCCATGGTACCACCTACCCAATGGAGCTGACTGCAAGACAGGCCAAGGTGATGGATGAAGGCACCCGGCCACTGCAAGCAGGAGGAAGATGATGGTTGCTACCTGTGTAATTATTGACATCATTGTGCCCATTGTTGTCACTGGGCTGAGCCTCCACTTCATCTGCTCCCTGACACGCACAGGCCTCTCACCCCACACACACTCCAAATTCACACCATCATCCATTCCCCATTTTCCCTGAAAAACTTAGGACTCTGCCGGGTGCTTCCAGGCCCAGCTCTCAGGGGCTCCACGCCGGCTCTGCCGTCAGCAGGCCAGAATGCAGAGCACACGTCTGCGAAGCCAAGCGGCCTTAGGAAGGGAAATTCATTGAAAATTGGAATCCTACTGCGTTCCAAATAGGAGTGAATTTTGCCTTATTGGCTGTTTGGGCAGAACTGAGCGGCCGCCTCCTCCGCGGCGTGGGTGAGGGCGGAGGGGAGGGGGGCACAGTTACCATTCAGCCTTGGACGCTGCGTTTGGGTCTGCCGTGGAATCACAGTGGGGAGTCTCAGGGGACAGGCAGCTTCAAGGTCACAGCATCACTGGCAGCTGCTCCAGGGGCTGCCTGGGGTGGGCCGGATTCTCCTGGAGCCCAAGCCCATGCAGAGCTTTCTGTGCGATTGGTTTCCAGGTTCTGTGGGCTCCACTCTCTTGGTTCCGAGAGTCTTCTGCCTGGTTCTTTCAACAAGGACTCTCAGAACAGGGCTCCAAGCTCAGCCAGTGCCGACCGTGTCCAGCCCTTTGTCCTGTACTCCACATGGCCAGCAGCAGCAGCAGCCGGGTCCCCTCCATCCACGGCGACACTGGGCAGGACCCGAGTTGGAACAGCCTGCCCCTCCCAGGGTAAGGAAGCTCCCAGGACACCTGAGCTCTCAGGAAGCCACTGGCCCTCTGGGAACTTCAGAGGGACTCAAAGGTCTCAGACGTCCTTTCCACCGTGACTGTCTGAATTTTGTCAGCACCTGTGTGGCGGCAGAAGATTCTGAAGTCAGCCTCCCAGGGAAGACATGCCCAGAGGGGAGCTTTCCCCTGGTCTGCCAGGATCTGGGGGCTTCCCCTGCGGGACAGACCAGCTCCCACAACTCACCAGCTGCCGGCTCCCATCGCTTCTGAGCAGAACCTTGATTTTGAGAGAAGGAAGGGAGCTACCCATTCAAGTGGCAATTAAAAGGTCCTTCAGAGGCACTCGGCTTGTGCTGAGAGTGGGGCAGCCTTAATTAATGGCTCCAGCCCCTGGGAGCCTTGTCAGCTCAGCCAGGAGCTCCATCGATCTGTGCTCTCACACCTGAGGGAGAGCTGGCAGGAGAAGCCAGAGGGACACAGGCTATGGAAGGGACTGACCCCAGGCTGGGGGGGATGCACTTTCTCTTACTGCCCCGTAGCACGCCCACTCATCTCACACACACACACACACACACACACACACGTCTGGCTCACACAGACACACAGTCCCGTACAGAAGTGCAGGGCCTGCGGCCGTGGGAATCCCAGCCCCGGCTGCCTGGGACTTGTCTCGTTTCTACCTCTTGTTCTGGTGTCACTGTTAATGGTGCCTCCTCCTAGTTGAGATGCTAATTTACATGATCACCTACCTAAGGGGAGCTTAGGAGAGAAGTGAGAGGTGGAGGCAGGAAGAGCAGCCTGGAGAGACCCTACAGAGAAGGGAGACGTGAGTCTTATCTGCCTTGCTCTCTATCCAGATGTTATCAGCTGGACAGGGATCCCAGGGCCCCTCAGGAAGAGCCTAGCGAGGATTGCCATATCCTCCCAACTGAAAGGGGGATGGCCCTTGTGCCAAATTCGAGGACATGAATCACATGACACTCTGATTCGAAGGCTTACTGTATGGCAAAACCCTTAACTTTTAGGCAAGGTCAATGACGCTTCTGCTCTGCTAACGGTTAAATATTTCTTATCAAAGTATCTGCATACCTGTTACGGGTTTATCTATGTCCACGAATCCGTGTTAATCTGTAAGTTTCCAGGACAGACGTGGAAAATAAGTTTCGTCTCGGATGCCAGTTGTGGGTCTTAATGTTGGTCGCTGGGTTGCAGTGGTGAGAAGGTTTCTGAGGCTCTATGCCAGCTGAACGTGAATACCACGGGCTACGTCTGCTTGGGGCCCGGGAGAGAACGTGGTGACATCTGCCCGCCATCTGCCACTCTTGTCCCCGAGGATCTCTGGAGTCTCAGGCTCTCTTTCTGTACAGGCCCTGGCCTGGGGCTGGGCTCGAGTGAAGGCTCATGGATGGCGCTGGCATGCTCTGCAAAGCCTGCAGTGTCGCCTCCAGCTGCCCTCTCCCCCGCTGCCATGTGGCCTACTGCAAAGCAGGCGCAGGGCAAGCTGCCTCTCCTTGGAAAGAAAACTGGACAAGTCTGGGACCAAGAGTTAGCCCAGGTGGGCAAGATGCCTTCTCAGATGAGCGTCCGCTCCTGGAGAAGAGCCAGCATCAAGCACCGCCGTGACACATCCAGGGCAGACGCTTTGGCATCCCGCCCATCCCTATCCTGTCTTCTCCCCCAGACCCCAGCCGGCAGCTTCTCAGGCAGGACGGCAGGGAACCTGGCATGGGTCTCTCTCGCTTGCTCTCCGAATCCTAGGCCCAGCCGGCTTACAGAAAGAATTGAACCCTTAGACAAAGAGGCAGTGACACAGTGGTCTCTTGGCTCTGTGATCAGAGGCTGCTACCTCTGTGGCAGGTGTTTCTTTGGGGTCTGTTCAGTCACTTGGGACACAGCCACCCACTCAGGACAGGATATTATGTGTCGGGGGTACCTAAAGAAGGAGTTGCAAACAAGCCCATCTGTCCAGATGAGAACCAGCTCCCCTCCACGCCTCGTGAGGTCGCAAAGCCTGAGGTATCAGAAGCTCGGCCTGTGGTTTGTTATTGGTCCTTTCAACCAACTGCAAATGAGAGCTCATGCGTTTTCCCTACTGTCAACCCTCTCTCGAGCATGCTGTCCTTCCAGGTGGTCTGAAATGGGGCGGTCTCCACGTTGGCCATTCCCGATAAACTCTACAAAGGATGGACGAGATGGGCTAGCAAGATGGAAATAAGTTAGGAAAATTTGCAAAGCTTGTTCATAAGGGGTCCCGAGAACAGGGCGAGCTTTGGGGAGTGAGTAAGGGACCCGTGGCAATGAAGTCCCTGGGGCACGGCTCCCCTGTTTGTAAAATGATAAGATTGGCCTCCACGATGCTTGACTGAATCACAGCCCCGGCCGAGATTACCCGGCAGGCAGTCACACTGGCTGAATCAGGAGGCTGAGGAACCCACGTCGAGAAGTGCCACCTGACTGACGGCAGCCGTGAGGGAAGGACCCACGGCTGTGGATCTGGCTGATGTTCAGCCTACAGTTTCTCCCCTTTCTCTTCATGCAATGTTCTCTGATGTCAAAATGTGCCGTCTACATTCAGCCCAAATGTCTGACTCAGAGAACAGACGTTCAAATGGCTTAAAATTCCAACAAGGAAGCGTTTTCCTGTGCCGGGGGAGACGGAGAGGACAGAGGAACTCTTTCCCTCCACGGCTGTGCTGTTGCACCTGCAACACGCTGGTTTATGAGCGTTTTCTGGACTTCAGTCAGTTCAGAGCTGATCCAGAACAAGGAAATTCTGCTTTCAATATGCTCATCTCCACCCCGTGGTGTCTCTCCCCTGTCCTAAGGTCCCAGAACATCCACAGATTCTTGGTGTCTGTTTGAACTGCCCTAAAAACAACCTATAAACCCACGGATGCTGACATTTGCCGTCACTGCTCTCAGAATGGGTTCACCCAAAAGCTGCTCCTGAGAGGCAGATCTGGTGCACATTCAGCCGATGCAGGACTTCCAGCAGGGGGAGGGGAGGGAGGCAATGCAGGAGGGGGAAGGCAGCCAGAGGAGCAAGTTATCGAGTCAACCCCCACGTGGCCAACAGGAGCTTCCCCCCACAGGACCTCCAGGACACCTGTAGAGCGGGTGCCTCCTGGTCACCGCAGCCGAGGGGCAAGGTAGCTGGGCCGTGTCTGCACCCACTCCCTCAGTCCCTGTTGAGGGCTGCTCCGTAGGTGGGAATTAATTCCCCCACTTCTGGCAAAGCAGACTTTTAGGGCTTCAGAAAAAACCCTCCGGCAAAGAGATGGAGCTAGTGGCAGGTGGATGGCAGCAGGAGCCCCTCGAAGCAATGAGGCCAAGGGGTACAGGGGGATCCGCTGTGTCACTCGCCTGCCCTCCCTTGCGCCCTGTCCCGTTCCCTGCACCCGCTTCTACACCCTTCTTCTCGCTGCCGCCTGGACCACAGAAGGCAACAATACGCTTCTAGAAACATCTTGGAAGTCCTTAAATCCATGACCCAGATGCAAGTGCCCCAGGGGCTGGAGACGATTAGGCGTGATTACAAAAGGGCTGCTGTGTCTTTTTTTTTTTTTTTCCTGGCAGCAGATGTTCCTGTCATGTGGGCTGAAGAAGTCCAGATGTGTTTGCACAGGATGCGGAGCCAGGGCCCCCCAGGAACAGAGATGAAAGAGCGGATACCCAGCAGCTGGTCTGCGAAAGAGGCTGGTGCAAGCCGTGCCTGGAGCGTGCGGGGCGTCTCTATGGGGAAGGAGCTGGAGCGCCGAGCACGGCAAGGAGGCAGCAGCCCCCACAGGCATCTGGGCCTCACCGTCTCGTAGTGCTAGGCTGCCTGGCGTCTGAGCCCAGGACAGGGAGGTCGCCTCAAGGTCAGAGCTGGAGTGCACTGCCCAGGGGTTCCCCTCGATGGGGCCCCAGACATGTTGTGGTTCACGGCTGCATTTGGAACACACACCACAGTGCAAACGGTACACCAAGGAAGGCAGGCAGGCAGATGCTCGAGCCAACAAAAAAGACACGTCACAGCACTGGGTCAGGGGCCACGAGGCGGGTGTGGTGTGTGGGGAGCCCCTGGGACAGGAGTGAAGGTTAGAAGAGACATTTCCCCAAATGTTCTCCCCCTACTTTCTCCACTCAGGAAAAGGCAACTCTGCCCTCCCAGTTCTCAAGCAAAAATCCTGAGAACCCT